CTTCCCTGCCCTCCCTCTTCTCTCCTCAGCTCAGCCTTCCAGTTTCCAGCTCAAACAAAACTGTAGTCTTAACAGCACCGTAAGTCAGTACAGGAGAAGTGCTGCGGAGCTGCTGTGTGCGTTGGGTGTGTGGGTGTGCGGATGGTGCCCCAGTGTGAGCACTGGTGTAGCTGCGTGTGCCCGTGTGTCTCTCCGCCTGTAGCGGGGAGCTCTCTCAATGTGTCTGGCCCTTGTTGTGTGCGTGTGTGTGCTGCTCTGCTGGCTGCTCTGGGAGGTGTCGGTGCCTCGGGACCCTTTGTGAGCCCGCGCGTGCCTGTGTCGGTGTGAGCGCACGTGTGTGGGTGTGCGCTTCCTCCTGCCGATGCTCCTGGTGTCCCTGTGAGGAGAGAAAGATGAGGGAGAATTATCAGGTGGGAACCATGCGTATGAGAGGATGTATTACAGATGAAGCAACTTGTTTTAGGAGAAGTGTGGAAAAATCTGTTGGAGAGATTAGGGAATAGATCTGCCTTGTGCTTTTGGATGTCTCTGTTCAAGGTTGCTGCAGTGGTAGCTGTAAACGCTGTCTCAGAACATCTGCAGTTCTCTCCCTGAACCCATCATGGGCCCAGGGCAGGATTGAGGCTACAGCCTGGATTTTAGCCTTCCACTCTTTAGGCTGATGTTTTTCTCTGTATGTTTTTAACAATGGAAGTGAACTTTAGTCTCTAACAAGCTGCTGATTGATTTTCCATCACCAGACAAACACGGCAACTTGGTCCATGTCCTGTTAGATGTCTTACATGTCTGCGTGCAGCCCTGCCTGTCTGCTTGTGCAGATATGCGCATAGCCACATGCCAAGGCAGACATTCAACACCTTGAGAAACACTTTAAATACATAGATACATTTGTGCCTGCATTTACACACACTATAAGACATAAAGCAAGATCTCTTACATTAAAATCAGGTCCCCCGGTCTGAACGACTCGGATGGGACATTGTGAATGCCACTTGCAGCTCCATCTTTGTGCTTAGCTCAGGGACTTTTCTGCAGATGTGCCCGAGGAGCGTGGTGCTTTACATATACCCTATCATATGGCCAGGCATGCCTAAGCTCAGGGAGAGGGACAACAAAAGGATGCAATTTATGCCTTGATTGTGGCTTTTGTCATGTTCATCTAGGCTCTTATGCTCATTCCCATCTTCTGGGGTCATGTCCAATTTACCTTATTTTCGTCTTTGCAAGTTTAAAAATAGCAGAGAACAAAAAAATTATTCTTAGCGGTGACGGAGAGTCAACATAACCTGTGTATATGCAACGAGTATATCCTAATCCTTTTTAAAGCGTAAGGAAAAATTTTTCCTCTGCTATCAGCAATGCAGATCTTTTATCTACACTGTGACAGTCCCTTTGCATGTTTCGCACTCACGCTACGTGCAGAACTCCCCTCACATCCATGCAGAATGAGTGCAGAATGTGTAATCGAGATCTGCAGTGCAGGTGAGCGATTTCCCAGGGCTGATCCAAGAGGAAAATGAAGCCTCAGACATCCTGTCAGTGTGTGTAGAGATACAGAACTGCACGTGTGTGCCCACTCACCCCAACTGGATCAGATTTCCCGAAACAGCCTCCAAAAATAACACACCGTTATTTTTGCATTCTGCTTTTCTTTAGTTGTCGTTGTGCCCTTTGTGACAGCCAGGGGCTCACAGGAGTGTTTTCTTTTAAAAACCGGTGTGCAACATGATGTGGTCGACTGGCCATAGTGTTCTAGAGACTCGCTTGCACTAAATGGAGTACTCAGCATCAATTTAGGACAAGCATCTGTCTATATAACTAGATGTGTTTGTCTCTCTATCTGTTTGTTAACTTTTATGTATGTCTATTGCCTGTTAAACTGAAAACGGCTAGAGCCCCCATGTTCATTTTCAGCTTTAGATAGAATTTTTATGCAGAAGAATGCCAAAGAAAAGGGTAAAACCCAGGCATGTTCTTAGCAAACACATGCTCAGTAACTGTAAGTACCACTGTTCTATAACTGTAAAGAGGTGTAGCATATTGTGCTTTCTTATTTTCCATCCCTTTCCTTGAGGACGGTGGATGCAATTTCCCTCTTCATGATTTGCCACTTTCTGTGATTTTATAAGGCTGTTGTCTGTAACCTACTAAAACCAAAAAAAAGCAAATCTTAAAGTGGTAGCAATGAAGAGGAGGCTGGTTTGAAGTTGCTCATAGGGGCAGACAACCTTCTGGTCCGGAAGCCCTGGGATCTTTGTTTCTTGGCACTGGATGCTGTAACAGTGGTGAAAATCTCTGAAGTTCTGCCAGAGCCTTTTTGGTTCCTTCTTTCCCTTCTTCCGTCCCTCACCTTTGCTTTCTGACTCTGGATTAGCACTTTTAAACTTTCCTGGTGTATAAGTCAAAGGGTTGAAAGGGACTTTGTGAGTGACAGATTCAGTTCTGTCTCCCCACTGGCAGCCATATCCTCTAGTCCTTTCTATAAATGTGTTCGGCACCTTGTTAAAGCAGATTGCTGGCTTTCCTCTGCCACCTCTGCTGGAGGACTGTTACAGGATCTCTTTCCCCCAGATGATCAGACACCTCCTACTTGAAACCTTAATTTCCTTTCCTCACTGGAGGAAACATGTTGGATGAGAGCAGGGAGGGCCTCCCCGTGCCCATGCGATGAGCTCTCCTCTCGGGTGCCGCACGGCTGTGCAGATCGTATCAGCCTCGGCGCTGACAGAAAGGTGGGGCCCGCTGGGACAACAGGAGACACAGTTGCTTGCAGGGTAACGTTGCATGCCGGGGCCCGTGCACCTCCGTGCTCAAAGGAACGCAGCTGTGGTTAATGGTGCGCTCTGTGGGCCTCATACAGTTCCTCTGTGTGACCGTCTGCTTCAAAACCCAGCCGTGAGCATCGCTCAAAACCCAGCCTCTGCACAGCATCGCCACGGCTGCAGAAACACGTGCCCTTAGCTATGGTGGGGCTCTTGGTGTAACCTGCATCACAGATGGCCTGTGCTCCTAATCAGAAAACAGATTCTAAGCTCACAATTTGAACTTAGCCTGTGGCACCCACTTATTTTTATATTAAAAGTCTAAAATACAATACTTAGGTAACTGGATGAAATCTTTCTTAGGTTTTCCTTGCTCTATAGAAAAACTTGTTATCTGGGTATGTTACTGGAGCAATGGGGTGGCTCCTGTATATAAAGAAAAAAATCTCCTTGGCTATCTGTTTCCACTTGCCCTGCTCAGAGTCCCGCCCAGACTGTAGCACAGGTACAGTTTAGACAGTCGGTATCATTACCTGGTTATGTAATATTTCCAGGGAGATCAAACAGTTGCTAAAGCCAAACAACTGAGCCCCCCAAAACAAACAAACGAAAACCCTCCTGGTCCCGTGAGCTACAGAGATGGCTTCTCTTTAAAAACAGTCTTCACAGAAGAGCACAAATTTTATCCTTGATGCTTGAAGCTCAAGTATTTATACAGGGAATTTATCCTCTTCACTTGTGGTTTTGGCAAAAGCTTCACACAAATGTTTTGCACTGGTGGTCTCTTAGCCGTTTAAGATAAACGACAAAATCAAATGCAGTCCTTGCAGACTCGAGCGCTGGATGCTGTGCCAAGGCTGAAGTATCCCCGTTTGCCTCATGTGTAGCTGTCAGATCACCATGTAGGCCTAGTTTCCGAATAGGGACGCTCGAGGTGGAGAGGCTCTCTCATAAAATGTTCCTTTTCCACGGTTGGAGCGTGGACAAATATTTCTTCTTGCTGCCACGATGTTTGCGCGTTTATGCAAGGTGCGCATGGATGCACAGACTGAATTGCTGCCATTAAAAGAAAGAGAGTATTTGCCAAAAGATACCCCACAATTAGCACACGTATTTCCTGATCTAAATACAGGGGGAAACTGTGGTTTCTAATCTACCACTGTGCGGTAACTGTTGGCAAATGCCAGCTTTTTAATGGCGGCCACTCCACCGCATATCTTCATTTAGAAACTGCCCTCGATTAGTAGCTACCCTTTATTTAGTAATTAAATGGAAGGCATAGTCTTAAATAAACAGTTGGATGCTCAGTGGATGTGAAGCTGGGCTGTTCTTGCAACTTGTCTTTAAAACTCTGTTCATTTGTGGCAGCTGATGTGTTTGTGTGTGTGCACGTGTGTGCTTGTGTGTATGTGCCTGTTTGTATTTGTTCAGGTGTATAAAGATGCTTACAACTTGTATTTTAATTTTTTAAGCCATGGAGCTCTTCTTTGGGCTGGTGCCAGGAGGAGTGAGTGTTTCCAGTATAGCAGGAGAAAACTATAAATACAACATTCCTAGATGGGTTAAAAATAAATAGGATAGTTGGAGGATACAACATCAACTTTTAGCTATTAGCAAAAAGCTTGCTCCATTCTTCAGAGCCTTGATAGGGAGGCCTGCATAATCGGAGCATGCAAAACACACAGCTGGCTGCAGCTCAACTGGGAAGGCAACACAGCGGCCCGTGAACGCTTTATTCTGGGAGCTTGGTTCCTGGCACCTCCGCGGAGCCGCTTGAGCTCGCAGCCCCTGCTCTTTGCCTGCGCTGGTGTGTCAAGCCCCGTTCAGCGGCAGCTCGGCATAAAGCCTGCCCAGTCTTGTGTCAGTTAAATGCATTAGCACAGCCATAAAGCAATAATCCCCTTTTTGATTTGGTCCCTCAGCAAGCGCTGGTGGCGGCGTTAAGCTCCGCTCCGCACCGCGTGCGGCTCCCTCGCCGCCCACCCGTGGCCGGGCTGCGGCGCGCGGCGGGTTCGCCCTTCCCCAAGCCCTCTTCTTGCTCTTCTCCCCAGCCCATTTCTCCTGCCTGGCCTCCGAGTGGGTCTTGCCAGTCTGAGCCTGACCCAGAAACCAGCCCGGACGCAGCGTGTAGTGAGTTAGGCAGTGAGCCGCCACCTCGCCTGTTTTCCCTGATGATGCCTCCTCTGTCCCTTCAAACTTAGATCCGACTGACAGTTTTTTCTATTGTTTTTTCTCCAGGGCCGTCCAGGCCTGCAAACCTGCCGGGGGCTCCCATAGCTGCCTCCTCCCACCCTCACACATCAGTGATCACGTCACCTCTCCGCGCACTGGCCTCTCTCCCGCCCTGCCTTAGCCTGCCCTGCTGTGGTGCACGTGCAGTCTCAGTTGGCGGGACTCAGACTGAGATTCAGACTGAGACGTCAGGCACATTTGGATGTCATTGTCAGTTGTCAGGTAATAGAAACGTTATTTTTCTGTTGTTGCTATCTGAAGGTCAGTAGTGCTGCCAAGTGATGTCATCTTTACTGTGGGAGAGCTGCCTGCACTGGGTTGCGTGGGGAAGGCAGTAGAAATGCCCTCAACATCCCCCCCCTTCTTCCTTCTTCCCCATCCGCCATCGTGGAGGGTAGGGAGCGGGAGAGGGTGTGTGACTCCCGCTCCTTCTCTTCCCCCTTCCCTTCCCTTCCCTCCTATCTGCCCGCTCTCAGATGTCACCAGCGTCCGTGGCTGGTCTGCTTATGCCACATTGTGAACAAATGTCTGAGAATCCTCACATAATGTGATACCCCGGTATCAAGATTTCATCTCTCTGGGCTGTTTATTTTAAGCTTAATTGGATAACATTTAACATCTGAGGTCTTTTTTTCCCCCCTCCCAATCATTCGTATTAAAGGCTTTCCTCAGAGTCCCCATGTGCACACAGGATGTATTTGCTCCTTGCAGTTTTCTTCCTCCCTTTCAGAAAATGCTCCTTGGTAACTTGCCACACATCCCTCCCCTCTCCCCCATGAGTTTTGCTTATCCTTTTATTCCTTTTGGAGGCCTGACTTTTGTCACCGCGAGGAGGGGAAAGTGCTGTGGAAATGAGGGCGCACCGAGCTAGCCGTCGAGGACACTGACATATTGTTGCCAGACCCCATCATTTCAGACCCAGCGATCTCTTTGATCAGTGGGTGTTTCTGAGTGTGACTCAGTTGCAAGATTGGGTCTGTGGTGAACTGAGCGCTGGAGAGGTGAAAATGGGGAGGGCTTAAAGGAAAACGCAGCTGTGGCAAATCCTCCAGAGCTTACTTGCTTACTGACTGCGGTGGGCCAAACCTGCAGCCCACCTTCATGCACACATGCATAGGGATTTACTGGGGAGTCTACAGAGTGATGCTGGATGAGTAATGCGTGAGGACCAAAGGATTTGGGCATATAACAAGGGCTGGCATGAGTAAAGTCATCAGAAAAGGGCTCCCCGTGTCCCCCTGAAGCTGGCCTAACTTTTGCTCCGTGCAGCTTTTTCCATTCATGAGCACTGCCACCACTTGGCTACAACACAGCTGGTCTCCTGAGAATATCCGTGTGCATCCCTATTTGATACAATGCTGCAAGAGAAAAAGAAAAGAAAAAAATTCCTTGCAAGGAATTTAAATTTTCACATCTTGGAAATCTTGTCTTGAAAAACTAGATATTCTCAGGAGAAGGCAGAAAACCCTCTGCAGAGCTCTTTTCCAGACCCATACACAACGGGTGGCTTGTGGGGGGCTACCATAGCCATCTGGGTGAGGCTCAATCTGTGCACTAGCTCTTGGGCCAGGGCACAAGCTCAGGCTTGGAGCAACATGTTCCACAGTGCAGCGCAGCGAAAGCATCCAGGGGGGTCGGTCCAATTTCCTACCCAAGTTGCTGTACTCCCTGTGGGGGGTGGATACTGTTTTAATCTGTCTTTGCTTCACTGACCTCAGTAGATTCACACTGGCCAGGAACGAGTGTAGAAATGGGCTCTTCTGAATGGTGAACTGTGTGTCAGAAAGTCAGATAGCCCCCTTATCTCCCCTTTGAATGGCCCCTCTTCCCTCCTGCTGTAACTGGGAAAACAGACTGGAATTGAGCTCTTATTTTCCTTTTTCTGTGTCTTCACTCATACAGAATACACACATGTATCTCTGATAGGTAGGTAGTTACAACAGTGAACTGGGTACTCGTGGTTCCCAATTGCTTCTGATACCAATAGCTAGTGGAGAGGGAAGGAAGTAAAATTAAAGACACAAAAAGGGAGGAATAGCTCATTGAAGAACATGGGACCACAAGGCTTGTGCTTTACCTGCTTTCAGTTCTCACTTTAGAGCTGTGCACTGTTCGTTTTTGGAATTGTCCGTTTGCTCAGAGAAGGATGGCAGCTCCGTGGGGTGACAGACCCGTTATCCTCGTTTCCTGTAATTACTGCAGCAGCTTATGGCACTTAGAGAATAGGTTATATCAAAGTGCATGCTACATGTTTATGACTGTAGCTGGCCAAGTTCTGCTTAAAAGAAGCATTTTCTCCCCTTGAAAAGGAGGTTTCCCCTTGAAAAGGAGGTTACTCTGCCGTAACCCCTTCCTAGCTCCCTTAGTGTTCGCTGTAGATGAGCTTGAGCATGATTAAAACCCTATAGCAGGGGAAATAGGATCTTTGTGGTTCTCAGAATGTTTTGTGGAAATGAAAGAAAAGTGATTTCTATGTGTTGTCTAATAACTCTAACCTAGTGATGATCCCCATGTTGTGTCCTCCTCTTTTTTTTTTCTTTTTCCTTTTCATATAACCATTTACAACAGTCACTTCGCTACCGCTTTAGAGATCTGCTTGTCTCTCTAGCTTGATTAGCTTTTTATTCTGCCAGCCCTGCTCTTGCTTCTGAGGAATTGTTTCCTTCTTTGAACAAAAGCCATCAACAGTTCCCACCTATCCCCCTCCTTCATCGTTTCTTACCTTTCCTGTTTTTCAGCATTCATTTAATTCAGGACCTGGAGTTTTTCAGTACAGTTTTCAAGCAGGCCGCAAATCTGAAGACTTGAAGTTGCAGGTACCCCCAAATCAGGTCCTTAAGAATCTCAGCTATTTTATACTGTAGAACCTGGTTGCCTGTGGAATTTGTGATTTACTTACATGCAAATGCCACATTTGAAATCTCAGACGCAGATAAGAGCCATTGCCTAGTGCTACTGCTAAGTTGCTCAGTTGTGCAAAAGGGAAGTCATCCTGCTTCACCAGAGCTGTTTGTGATCTTTATGAAATGTGTGGCTGAGAGTAGTTACAGTAAATGGTGCTGGGAAGTCTGCTGCTTCGGTGTCCACTGTGTCCCCCTCCGATTGCTGCTGTGGTCCCTTCTGCCTTTGTTCTTTTACTTGTGTTCAAGGCACCATGGGATGAGGAATTTGTGAGTAAAGGCCTGTGTTTTTCAATATGATTCTTTAAAATATCTACAAATATTACTGAAACAATCTCTCTGTCTCTTTATTTATTTATTTTTGCCTCAGAGGCTTCTGTCTGTTGAACTGGGTTCTCCTGTTTGAATGTTTTTAGTGCCTATTTAATTAGGAGTTGGAATAGAGTCATGAAATTCGCAGGGTTGTCTAGCTTGGATCTAAAATATAAATGGGCAAAGCATTCATTTTGCTTTACCCCTTGCCAGATTAGGGTGCTTTTTTTGAGCCTGCTTTTTATTTCATCTCAATGAACTGCAACTGTGTAGTGTAACTGTAAAATGCACACTTTTTTTTTTTTTTTTTTGCATAACAGAGACATGCAAATGATTGTTGAGAGACATAATTATGTAAGGAAAAGTATATGCCTCTGTGCATGCACACATACACTGCAATGCTTTTTGTGGGGCTATTTTTTCACAATACATCTTCATAAGGCTCTTTTTATGATGCTGATTTATTAATATTGTACATTAAGGCTTAAATTGTCAAAGCTGCCTAAGAGATTTGGATGCCCATTTCCCATTAAAGTTAACGAGAAACGAGCTTTGAAAATCTCAGCACAGAAGTGCATGGCACTTTACAGTGTGCTCTCCAAAGGAAAAAGTCCCTGCCCTGAAGATCCTACAGTGCAAAAGCCCTAGAAATGGAATTCTAATTGCCGAAAGACAAAGTGGGTTGTAATGATACAGATAATAATTTATCCCTTCTGCCTGCTTTTAGATATATTCCTGATCCAGAATGTTTGGACCCAGGCCCATAAGTGAGGATTTTATATACCTCTGTAAAGATAATTAAATCTGTCTAATACACATATATTCAGCTAACCAGTGAAACTGCTTCCTTCCCACATGTAGGCTGCTAGAAGGAGGTGGAAAGCAATTACGATACTTACTTGCATTTATAAAAACAGCAAGTGGGCATGGGCAGGAGTGATTAATGGACAGGACTGTGAAGTTAAAGGTCTAAAATAGAGGAAGGCATGGGCTTGTAGCTCAGAAAAGTGGAACTGGCTCCCATTATTTCAAGGAATCAGCTGTATTAGTCATTAGGACATTCTGCAAATCACGCAGTCGTCTTGTAAAGTTAGTATCAATTTACTTGGCTACTGAAATTCTACTTACTACATCTTTTAGTCTGGAGTTTCCCTGGCAAAGGTTAAGGTGACAATAAAGATAAAAGAAATACCTGTAAGTAAATAACAGGTTTTAAAATAACATTTTCCTCTCCTTCAATTATATCACGGTATTCAATTTGTGTTGGTTTTATAACTGCCCTCAGCCAATAAGATGCGCTAGATTAGACCACCCTGCTGTAAAAAGCTTGATGCAATTAATACAGTCTGCCTAGAAAGCAGTATTATTTCAAAAAACTTTTATGTTAATGATATGGTATGCGCTCGGCACATTTCATACTAGGAAAAGAAGCAAGCTTTTGTTCACTTCAGACTGGGTTTTATTAACACAGGAGGATCAATGGAAAACAAAACAGTAATCAGAGCAGAGAATGCAAACTCATCCAGCAAAAACCTCCTAACTCATGGAGACTCAGAACGATGGCTGATATGTTTTGTTTTTCCTTGTTTTTTGCTCAGTGGAATCTCAAAAAAAAAAAAAAAAACCAATAAACTTGATGTCTGATCAATTCTGCTTTTCTTTTTTGAGAGGAAGAAGAGGAACTGGGAGTATGTATGTGAAAGCAGACAAAGACCTATAGTTGCTCTGCAACCATTTGTATATGTATCTTTCATTTTGCTGCATAAAGAAAAGGTTTGCATAAATAACTAACAGCTAACATTCAGGAGATAAGTCCCTATTAGTCATGGTTACAAGTATTTATTTATTTTAGTGAAATATTTAATAAACGCTGCAGTAGAATTGACACTTACGGAGTTCAGGGATGAGTGAGATCTATATATATACTGAAAACAGTAATGCATCAGTCTGTGTATATCTATCTTTTCATCTATCTATCAATCTGTATGTTCATTCATCTATCCAAGTATT